GAGCTGGCTACTTTTGGCCAACCCTGAAGGGAGATTACGCCGAGTTCGTTAAAAAATATGTGCAATGTCAAAAGCATGGGAACCTCATCCATGCCTCGACTATCGAGTTGCATAGTATCAGCTCCCCATGGCCGTTTCCCTTGTGGGGTATAGACGTACTCAGACCGTTCCCTGTGGCAAAGGGGCAAGTTAAATTTCTTCTCGTCGCGGTGGATTATTTCACAAAGTGGATAGAAGCCGAACCGCTCGCCTGCATCTCTGCAGCCAACGTCCAGAAGTTCGTTTGGAAAAATGTGGTTACCCGTTTCAGTATCCCGTATGCCATCGTTTCGGACAACGGCCTTCAATTCACTGACAAAAAGTTCAACACTTTCCTCGAAAATCTCGGCATCCGGCACCGGTTCAGATCTGTTGAACATCCGCAGTCGAACGGGCAAGCCGAGGCGGCCAATAAGGTCATACTGACAGAATTGAAGAAAAGGTTAGGTTCAACAAAAGAAGCGTGGGCCGAGGAGCTACCGGAAGTCCTTTGGGCATACCGATGCACACCCCAATCAACTACCCGAGAAACACCCTTTCGCCTAGCATACGGCGTGGATGCTATGGTCCCGGTTGAGGTTGGGGAACCATCATTCCGGCGACAGCACTTTCACGAAGAATCCAATGACAACTCACTTCGGGCAGAGCTTGATGTTCTAGACGAAGTAAGGGAAAGGACGCAGGTTGTGGCCGAAGCGTGCAAGCAACGAATGAGCTGACGCTTTAATTCCAACTTAAAGCCAAGAACATTTCACGAAGGCGATCTCGTCTGGAGAGCAACTGGCTCGGCAAGGCGCAACTCCTCTGAGGGAAAGCTCTCGGCCAACTGGGACGGCCCGTTCCGGGTACGACATGCTCTCCACAATGGAGCTTACATGCTCGAGGAGCTGTCCGGCAAGGTCATTCCGAGAACATGGAATGCAACCCATCTGAAGACGTACTATAGTTGAATCCAATTTTGTAATGTCTAAACAATGTATATGTATCACGATGCACTCTTTTCCTTGACTGATCTTTTCCCCCTTATAAAAACGTGAAAAGGGGTTTTTGGTCGGCAAAGTTTTTAACGAGGCATCAATTCATCAATGAACATACACTCCACATACTTATGATTGTCAGATATTTTTAATTTTACAAGTCTTCCCTCCTGAGATCTCTCTGGCCAAGGATGCGGCTTACGATAAATTTTACAAGTCTTCCCTCCCGAGATCTCTCTCGGCCAAGGATGCGGCTTACGTTAAATTTTACAAGTCTTCCCTCCCGAGATCTCTCTCGGCCAAGGATGCGGCTTACGTTAAATTTTACAAGTCTTCCCTCCCGAGATCTCTCTCGGCCAAGGATGCGGCTTACGTTAAATTTTACAAGTCTTCCCTCCCGAGATCTCTCTCGGCCAAGGATGCGGCTTACGTTAAATTTTACAAGTCTTCCCTCCCGAGATCTCTCTCGGCCAAGGATGCGGCTTACGTTAAATTTTACAAGTCTTCCCTCCCGAGATCTCTCTCGGCCAAGGATGCGGCTTACGTTAAATTTTACAAGTCTTCCCTCCCGAGATCTCTCTCGGCCAAGGATGCGGCTTACGTTAAATTTTACAAGTCTTCCCTCCCGAGATCTCTCTCGGCCAACGATGCGGCTTACGTTAAATTTTACAAGTCTTCCCTCTCGAGATCTCTCTCGGCCAAGGATGCGGCTTACGTTAAATTTTACAAGTCTTCCCTTTCGAGATCTCTTTCGGCCAAGGAGGCGGCTTACGTTCATATTTACAACTCTTTCCTACCGATAAAGGCAATTATCATTTTACATCAATATACGATAGCAAGTGAAATTAAAATTCATGAACACGGCACTATCGGCCCAAAAAAGTACATTAAAATAGGGCTTTATTGGCCCATCATTAAAAAAAACACAGTAAGGCTTACGACGCCACCTCTGGCTCCCCCTGAACTGGACCGTCCTCCGGCGCACCTTCCTCGTACACCGTCTCCTCCTCATTCGGCCCAGTTGGCTGTGCCGGAGCTTCCTCGTCGGCCTGTTGGTCTGGAGGGATGGAGGTCAAGTCCACCAACTTACCTTGAAAGAAGTCCTTTGTCATATCAAAGTGAAATTCAGGAGGGAAGTCGCCAAAGAAGCAGGCCTGCCGAGCCGCCTGAGCAAACCCAGCCTGATGCTGAGAGAGGACCTTGTTGCGTGCCTTCTCCCTATAGGCACTGAAAGCAAGCTTCTTAGCATCCAACTCCTTGCTCAGCACAGCAACCTTTTCCGTCTCGGTCTTCAGAGATAGCTTGAGACGTTGGACCTTCAGGGCCAGGTCGTCGGCAATTCGCCCACGACGGTTTAGCTCAGCCTGGAATTTCCCATTGGTCGTTTGGGCATCAGTCAGCGCGGCCAACGTCTCTTGCAGAGACTTCTCCTGCTCTGCCAGTTGCCGACGCAGCCCATCAGCCTCACCATTCGTCTCCATAATGATGCTCTACGCCAAGGACACTGCCCGAACTTGGAACTCGCAGAAGAAGCTTCATTTCTGAGTCGAACTCATCCGACCCAAGACCCCTTAACCTGATTCGGAGGTCAAATCCTGGCTCAGGAAATCCTTAGCGTTGAGGTTATCGGCCAGGAAGCTCGGTCCAACCAAACCTTGTGGAACGGTCGGGTTGCCCGAGCGTGGTTGTTTAGCCTGACGGCTCACATCTTCGGCCCGACTATCCTCGGGCCTTCTTTTTTCGCCCTGGGGCCTATTTGGACCCTTGCCTCCCTTTCTCATCTGGAGTTCGGCCCCGTTTTGCCACCTTGGGGAGCAGGCTGGTTCCCGACCACGCGCCCTTCGGACGGGGCCTTCGTAGCCGGAGCAGAAGCCATGCGGCTTCCGATCAGAGTACGGATGTCCAAGTTGTCATTTTTGTAACTCGCCATGATACCTGCACATCATTAGTCAAAATCAATGATAACGTAAGAATTCAAACGCGTAGGAAAGTTACTATACCAATCAATTCTTCAGTCATGTTAGCCGACTCAAACAGTCGAACCAACGGTCGGCACGACAATGGCCGAGGAAGCTTCAGCAAAAAATTCAAGTTAGACCGCTCCTCCGGGGACATTCAGGACTTCGACATAGTATCGTACTTGCGCGGTTTCTGGGTCCAGTAGAGCAGGAATATCGGCCCCTTCCCAGCATCAAAAAAGTATTTATTGCCCGTCGCAGCCGAATCATTACCTTAATGAATCCTACCTTGAACTTTTTGTAGGAAGTGGTAAATGGCTGTAACAAACAGTCCGCGTGCCAAACCAAAGACAACCACTTAACCTTCTTGGTGGGCCAAGACGAATAGAAGTATAGGAACAGATGAGGAGTGGGCTCAATGCCGAGAGCCAGACACAACTGTCTAAATCCTTGCATCGCGGCCCAAGTATTTGGATGGAGTTGGGTCGGAGCCACGTTTAACAACCGTAGTATACCAGCAAAATACTCATCAAACGGCAGCGTCACCTTCAAGTCACGAAACATGTAGTCGTATACATAAAAAAAGTGATATTTACAATTTCCTTGATCCAAGAAGACGAAGTCCGGGTTCGGCCCGCCATCGCCTCGGCACGGCTGAAAGAAGATTGGAGAAGGCTCTTCTTCTTCAGGGAAGGTTAGAAACTTCAAAGCCGAAACGAAGAGCGCAATAGAATTCTTGTCAGTATACCGAGAGTGCACACTGCCCACCTCCCCATGCACCCACGAATAACCAGGAGTCTGGATGGGTGGAAACTGGCTAGAGGCCGTAGCCGGCCGGTCATCCGAAGCTACTACAGATGATGAGTCACCCTCACTTGACATACGCCCCGACCCTGAAGCGGATCCCGCGTCATCTGACACATTGGAAGCCGAAGCCGATACATGGTGTCGGTTCGATGCTGCTCCTGACCCGGCGGCGGCAGAGTCACCTGTATCCCCAGAGGAGCCGATGTGAACAACATTAACATCTGCCATAATAACGTACCTAAAAGTGAAGCTTGATCGGTCTTGCTGAAAGACAAGGCTTGAATGCTACAGCTGCAGTATGATTTCGGCCCGGAGCAAACAACGAATACGTGTGTATCAACCCCCATCACACGCCTATTTATAGGCCTTCCTTATGATGGTTTCAAACGACACGCCTCTTCAATCACCGTTGGATCAACTTGATCTAACGGTTGATATTAAAGTAACTCTTCGCGTGCCATCATTAATGCCCAACGGTTACGAACCTAAAGGTCATAACCTTTCATATCCCCGCAGTTAAAACGCCAATAGCTGTATGTCCAATGGTCACGACTCGTCACCCTTCAACCGAAACGCCAATAGCTGTGTGTCCAATAGTCACGAATCCACACTCTAACCTAACCACCACCATTGAAACTGCAAGTTTAACCTTTGTGACGTTTCACTCCCAAAGGCTGGGGGGCTTGTGTACCGGAAGGGTCCCCTAAGTCACATCGACCAACACGTGTTGCCCCGTCAGACACCCACGTGGACTTTGAAGGAACACAACTGTGATCTTGTGCGAACACCAATAGCGGTAAGATCGGCCCGGTCGAAGGCCGATCCACCCTCAGATAGATCGGCCCGGTCAGAGACCGAGAGAGCAATGGAGTTCCAAGCCTTTTATCTGGTAGTGCGTAAACCACGAATGCGTGTTGTGCTCCCACGCGTCGGCTCGGCAGAAGGCCGAGAGTCGAGGGCAACCCAACCCATACCTACCAGTCCGGCCCAAGACCAAAAATAGTTAACACCCCGGGCCTTCATCTGTCGGCCCGGAAAGGGGCCGACAGATAAAGACAAGTACTACGGAAATAATCAAAGTTAGCAAGGATAAGCGCGTGTTTAAGACATAATCAGCCGATTAGTGTCGTATTACCTAATTTGGCAAACTTCAGAAGAGGCCCACTGCGAGCATGGCCCATCAAAGGTAGTATAAATAGGTCACTTATAACGAGGTACGTCACTATTCTTTTATTATCCTCGAAAATCGTGCTTGTCCTGACTTAAGCGTCGAAGTGCCTTTTACAGGTACCTCCCCTCTCCGAAGTATCTACTTGAAGCTCCCGTTCGGCCCCTCATCTCAGAAGACTACGAGTGTGCCCTCAGACAGGTACATTTAGTATGATGATCCGTTTTTAGCTGATTTTATTTAGTATTTTCTTTAAATCATTAATGAATGATTTCAGTTGATATTTTATTTGAGTTAACTGTTATTTAATTGTTATGTTTATTTTTTTATAAGCTTATTCTTTTTTTTTCATATGGTTGAAATTGTAATGATCATATACTTGATATAAGAATAAGACATAATTAGCTAGTGGAGGGTTATACTGGTAATGACCTAATTTTAGTGATGCTACTTTAGTGTAGCTTAACGTTGTATAAACTCTTGATTGATGATTAAGGTTTTATTTTATATAAAGTGGTGTAATTTTGTATATATTGTATATATGTATAGGGTATGTATGTAATCCCATAAGGGGATTTATGTTTTCAAGTTCATGGGCAAGAATTGTTTAGATTTCTAATTCTATACACACACACACACACACACACACACATATATATATATATATATGACTAGGTGACTGTTTTGTTTAATATTTTTGTTTAATATTTAATAGTGACCTATTAAATTGTTATATTCATCATTATACTCGTCATTGTTCTCGTTCTTGTATCATATACTCATCCCCGTTCTCATACCCAATAGGTATAAAATTTGTACCTCACTTCTATCCTATTAGGCATTGGGTATACTTGTATCAATTTTGTATTTGCTCCAAATATTAAATAAATATCTTTTTACAAATATATATATATATATATATATATATATAAATGATATTATTTATCTTTAAAATTAGCCATCAATTTTCGATTACAATAAATATTTATATATATATATATATAATAAAATTTTCAACATAAAGCAATAATTATAAAATTATATTAATTAAGTTTCATTTGACAAAATTTAAAATAGAGTAATTAAGAATTACATAAATATTAAGAAAAAATTTAAAAACATAAATTAAGTTTCTAAAAAATTAAAATAGAAACAAGTACGATATGGATATATCTATTCATCCTCATCTCCTTATTCAATTTAATACGTTAGATATTATCTATACATATATTTAACCGACTCAGATATTTTTTGTTAAGGTCTTCCTTTCTTATTTGTTTTTGTGAGTATAAATATTTCCATTCAATAATTTTTCATTTGCCTTCTTTAAACAAATATGTCAACAAATAATAAGAAAATGGAATTTTTTACTATACTACCACAATAAAAAATAATTAATGCCAAAATGTCACTCTCTCCAGAGTATTTATCTAATTGCCCCTCTTTTTTTTATTAATATGAGAAGTTGGGTATGGATAACCCAACTTCTCAATGGGTTTTTTAATTTTGTTTTTTTTTCAAGAATTAATTTTTTTAAAAAAATATGTTTATCATATATTATTTAAATGATTGAAGAAAAAGTAATCTAAAAAATTCAAAATGATAAAAATTGACAAGAATTTTTATTATATATTTTTATTATTTCTCTATAAATCACATTACAAGAAGATGATAAAAAAAAGAATTATAATAATAATGTTGGAGATGGCTGCTTGTTAGTTTCTTCTATCTAGTGTAAAAGTTTGAAAATGTTGTTGCATGTATTATGATGGCTCGTTTAAGTTACTAAGCCACAATATAATAAAGATGAATAAATTCATGATTTAAAAATATAAATAAATAAATTCTTAAAGATTGCTAAAAAAAAATTTACTTGCAAACACATTGAGATTGATCTAATTTTAAGGGGAAAAAATCAATTAAAAAGATTTAATTATTGTCAACAAGTTGGTCATGACAAAAAAAATGTTACAAACTTCAACAATAATAATATATATTTTTATATATTTTTTTATCATTTATTTTTAATTTAATTTATACTTCAATCATCATTTTTATATATTTTTTGAATTATTTTATTCATTATATTTTAAATTATTTAAGTATAAATTATATTTAAAATAATATTATTGTTTAAGTTTGGAACAATTTTTTGGTCATGACCAAATGTTTGACGATAATTATACCTTTTTAGTAGATAATCTTAATCTTAATGTATGTAAGTAAATTTTTTTAAAAAATTAAAGAAAAAAATTTATTACATTTTTAAATCACGACTCCACTTATGTTATTGTGGCTTAATAACTTAAATGAATCATTGTAATACATGTTACAAAATTTTCCAACTTGTATACCACATGGAAGAAACTAACTAACTAAAAGTCATCTCTAACAACATTAAGTTTTTTGTATTTTATAATATAGTTTGTGTTAATGATTTAAAAATATATGTAAAATAAATTATATGTTATTTTTTTATCACTTACTTTTTTAGATTAATATTTGCTTCAATCATTTATAAAAATACATAATAAATATATTTTTGAAATAATTTTCTTAATTTAAAAACAAAAAATTATTATAAAAAAAAAACCATTGAGAAGTCAGGTTTCCAAACCTGAATTCTCATGAGTAAAAACATGGTGGTAATCAGATAAATAATTTGGAGAGAATGACATTTTGAGAATTTTTTACCCAAATATTATTTTTTTTAAAAAAATTACAAGATTAACAACTGTGCAGGTTTATTTACCAAGTTAGAACCATTCACTGTTCAAGCTCAGAATTCGGTTTCCAGGGAACCGAATTCTGAGCATCAAAGTGTATTTTTTTTTTGTTTTTTCAACTCAGAATTCGGTTCCCCGTTTTTCAACTCAGAATTCGGTTCCCCGGGAACCGAATTCTGAGTTGGTTTTATATTTTTTTTTCGTGTTTGCAGGGAAACGTGGGCAGATGTTGGAAGCGGAACGGCCCGTTCCGAAAGCAGAACGGGACGTTCTGCTTAAAGGCACAGAGTGACATTTTTGAAAGTGAAACGGGCCAAGAACGGGCCGTTCCAGCGTTAAGAATTAACGTTGAAATAGACCCATGAAACGACCCGTTTTAAAGAAATTTTTTAGTCAATTTTTTTAACCTGGAACGGGCCGTTCTTGTTTTAGAACAACCCGTTCCAAAATACAAATTTACACATTTTTTTACTCCTGGAACAGCCCGTTCCAGGAGCTGTTTTAACGAATGGGTTTGTGCTTTGGAACGGGCCGTTCTGGTTTTGGAACGGCCCGTTCTGGGTAAACAGTAAAAACGCAAGTTTTTCTATAAATAGGCCCTCTCCCCTTCATTTTTTTATGCGATTTCAGCTAAGTTTGTCTCCTTTACTCCTTTCCTGTACTGCTTCTGATTCACCTTGATAGTAAGAAATTCTTTTTTTGGTTCAATTTTCATTAACCAAATATCAAAAATGTTGTTGTGGAAGCAAAATGAGCATAGGTTTGCTTTCATTGGTAGAACGGTAAGTTTAGCACTTTTGTTATTTACTTTAAATTTCAATGAACTTGTAACAAATTAGTACTAATTTTGGTAATTATTGCAGGAGAATGAGAATATTATTTGTTCTCACTGTCATTCAATGCCAGAACCTCACCCTCTAATTATTCCTATACTAGAGGAAGTTGGTTTTTCTGGGGTTGCAAAGCTCATACATCTGAAAGTGGATCACGCATTAATCACAGCTTTGGTTGAAATATGGAGACCTAAGACTCATACATTCCATTTTCCAACTGGAGAGTGCACCATAACACTGGAGGATGTTGCACTTCAACTTGGCTTAAGAGTTGATGGTTTACCAGTCATTGGCCCAACATTATATGACTGGGAGGAAATGTGCTCCACCTATCTCGGAATCATGCCAGTTAAAGGTGAGTCACTAATTGGCTCTATGATTAAGTTAAAGTGGTTAAGAGAAAATATGTTAGAATTACCAGAGGAGCCATCTCAAGAACAACTTGATGCACATTGTAGATCATATATATTAGGTTTAATAGGAGGTGTTTTGATGCCTGACAAAACAGGCAATAAGGTACATCTTATGTATTTATCTTTATTAATAAATCTTAGAAGAACAAGACGATATAGTTGGGGGTCGGCTTGTTTAGCTATGTTATATAGGGAAATGTGTAGAGCTACAAATGTTAGTAGCAAAACAATGGGTGGTTGTGCATCTTTGTTACAGTCTTGGGCATGACATCGCATGCCATATATTGCGCCTATTTCCAGGTTACCAGCAACATTCCCTCTAGTCTGTAAATAGAGCGGGGGCAAAGTTTTAAACTTTCAAAATGTACCTCATAATGATGTTGTTGGATATAGATCAAGGTTTGATCACATTTAGAATGATTAGGTAACTGTTTAAAATTAAAGTTTTATTATTTTTTTTATTTTCTTTTTTTTAGCATAATATGTTAACTAAAGAAGTTTAATTTTTTTTGTAGTTTTTATGGGCGCCATATGGAGTATTGCAAACAGCAATACCGATGCAAGCATATAGAGATGCTCTGCTATGGACATCATGCACCTCCATTATTTGTTTTGCAATTGTTGAATGGCACCAATCTGATAGAGTGAAATTGCAATTTCGTCTCTTCCAGGATGTCCCTTCTCCACCGAATAATTTGGATAACCTGCACAACATTGACATGAGGGGCAGACAAGATGAAAATTGGGTTACAAGACATGCTCAATGGATCGACATATGGAACAATAGACGTGAGCACACATTGATGGGTCATCCAATGCAAGGCCCACTGTTTCATACACGAGAATACATGGAATGGTACATGGCCAATTCCATCTATTTTTTATCTGTGCCACGACTACTACAAGATCCAAGGACCCGTCAACAACGAAGGACTTCTATAACATTTGAGACTGGTGGAACTTCCATGCGATCGCATGAAGAGACTGGTCAGCATGTATCAAATCCTCAGTATGTCACTCCTGAACAAAACATAATTGACAAACGACATTCATTTGCAACAACTTCAGAGGATTTTTTTAC